TGTTAAAAACACTGAAGCTTACCCAAAAGTTGAGTTCTGATACTCTGAATCTATGAATTTTATTTCTCTTGAGAATTATCACCTGAAATTCATGTGACAGATAATGAAATCAATAACACTAACATACAAATGCTACATTTCATACAAATGCTACATTTCAAACATTACACAGCCACACCCTTCCATCTCAACTGCCAACAGCCATTTTCCTTCTCAGTTGCTGAATCTTCAGGTCAGGGACACGAGAAACGCCCTCAAAATGAGAACTAGATGCTCTGGGGCAAGAAGTTGCCTCTTGAAACAAGCTAAAACCTCACTGAGTTATGCTGGATACGCTTTGCAGGGCAACCCCTCTGAAAGGTAGATGGTGTGTGGGTACCGCTATGTTGCAATGCTGAAAATTGTGACACAATGTTGAAAAAAGCAAGCTTACATTTGGGCAGGGTGAGAAAGCGAAGAGATTTTGAGGGAAAAAGCACAGGGGAAGCAAAACTGTTAAAACCTAAGAACAATGCCCAAATATTCTATCAGTGTACCACACAAGGAAAGTACTATCTATTCTAAAATGAGTGTCAGTCCATGAGAGTAAATTACATAAAGAGGCCATGCACTTATTCTAATTATTTTGCAATTGCTCAACTGAGTTATAGGTACAGGCAAATCAGTCCTATTATGTGACTGTTTTATCACGTTCTGTCTAAAATCTAGATCACCCAGTCCAATCATTCACTTTATGCATAAGATTTTGGCCAATCCCAAAAGTCAAATCCAATCTTAAAAGGTGAAGATTTGACTTCATGAAGAATATTCAAAAGAATATTAAATTGCCTGTGAAGGCAATTTAAAGAGCTCCAAAAATATTTAGGGCAGTAGTAGTGTCACTGTAATAGCCTACTAAAGTTACTTAACAGAAAAGCCATTTTACCCTTAACTAATGATCTTTCGTATGTTTTTGAGTTATGAAATTGCCCAATTATATGAAATTAAAAATACCACTTATTAGAAGTGCTATGTCATCCAACAATTTAGTAGACAAATCCTTCTACATCTTTTAGATAATTAGTTAATGATCTTTTAGATCTTTAGTTAAGTTTTTAGAGTAAGTCTCGATATCTTGTTATCACTTTAAAAATATTTACTTGGGTGTTGCTTTAAAAAGGACAATTGTTCACTATACTATTTTTCAGGGATAAGGTAGAGAAACACTTTCATATGGGAAAAAATTTTTCATGTGAATAATCAGGAAATGGAAAACTTATACTAGACATGGAAAGCTGCTCTTACCAGGGGGGAAACACTTCATGAGCTTAACAAGCACTTACCCACGTCATTAACAAAGATGAAGAGTAATAAGAAGATAAGTACATTGGATTCCCAAACATCAAAATACAACAGAGGACAACTGAAATCTGCAAAATGAAAAACAAACAAACAAACTCACTTGCTTCACAGGTATTATATGCATAGCATAATGAAAAACTTCGGAGACATATAGTCATTTCTAGCACAAATGTTATCTGTATAGAGAATAGTAATGGTCTGGGCCCATAGAATTTCAAGTCACTGCTAGTTTCTAAATATTAAAATTCAAGACCATAAATTCATATAGCACAATTAAATTTTTTCTCTGTTATATGAACAAAGAAAAGTTATAAAAAAGTATTGTTTCTATTATTTCAATGACAAAATAATAAACAGTTATAACTCTATTTCCATAATCTTGTGCTTTCTGTTTACTTTATGATTTCCAACAGTGAGGAGGCTTGATTACTTTTTCTTTTTTTAAGGAAGATATGTTTGGAAACTAAAATAAAAAACAAAATGCAACCATATAAAATTTCCACTGTAGGGTGTCCATTTGCACAAAGTATTAGAAATCTCAGGGCTAAGGGAGAAAAGACAGTTAAGTTTCAAAATTAAAGACAAAAGTAAATAAAACAAGAAAGTTCTAGGGGTTGATGATTTAGCTCAGTGGTTCTGTTGCCTGCCTCACAAGTGCAAGGTCCTGAGTTCGATCCCTGGTACCAAAAAAATAAAGAATCCAAAGTTAGAGTCCAACACGTCTACAATGTAATTGAAAGTATAATGTGGTATCTTTAATGCACATTCCTAGTTTTCTTTTTGGTACCAGGGATGGAACTCGAGACCTTTCACTTTTGAGGCAGGCAGTAGCTCCCCTGAGCTAAATTCCCAGCCCCATTCCCAGTTTTCTTTCCAGAAACCATCAACATTATATGTATTAAACACTATCATAAACAGAATTAATTATGTTTTATAAACTCTAGGAACTTATTTTAATATTTGATTTATAAACATTAAAAATGTTACCATGTTCATATAAACGATCTTCTGAAACTTGCTTGGCTGAATGTACCCCACAACATACATGTGAAATAACGAGGCTGTCTGAAACACACATTACAAAAGTGAAAACATCTAGAAAATAAATACAGTTCACAGGTAAAGTAAATGTAAGAGGGGGAGTCATCGAGTCATTTTCCTTCCTTCCTTCCTTCCTTCTGTACCAGGGATTGAACTCTGGACCTTGTGCTTGTGAGGCAAGCCGCAGAACCACTGAGCTAAATCCCTGGCCCAAGGGGAATCATATTTCTGATCATGGTAGGCAAATTAGATCAAACCAATCTTCCAGCTGAGAAGTGGAATATGTAGGGAAATACACACAGACATATAAACACACACACACACATAATTTGCCAAAAAATGTATACACACTTACACACATGCACACACATACACACACACACACACACACAGTTAAAGTCTGGAAGCGAATGGGCACCACTCTGAGCACCTCTTGTAATTGTAGAGGCCAAAGGTAACATTTTTTAATCTCATGCTGTCTCAATAAATTTAGTATTAGAATATTTATACAAGTTTTCTTTTCCTGGTGTATACAATCTTGGTGAACTCTACATATATATTATATATAAACAAAAAGATATATATGAAAATTATAGGTTATTAGCAAAGCACGTGAGCAATTAGCAAGGTAAAACCAGGGAAAGGATGGGAATCTATCGTGAGGACCATGCGTTTTGGATAACTTTCCTCCCAGCAGTATCTGCAGGCTCTGATACAGGCAGCTGTGTGCAGGCTCAGAGGCACTGGGAGACCTGCAGGCTCGGCAGGCGTTTCCACAGACTGGGTGGGCAGGACACACCAAGAAGGGGACGCCTGCTAAGGACCCAGGCTTTGGTTCTGGGCATCGAAGGACTACACTCTACCTCTACGAGTGAACCAGAAACAGGTTACCCCTCAGAAGGGCTGAACCCCACCACTGAGTCACCTTAATCTCATTGCACAAATACGATTCAAGACGCTGAGTGCCTTATTTGCCTGCTGGAAGCAAATTTAATCTTCTCTGGAGAAACCTCATATCAACTTAGTCTCACACTAGCTCCACAGCACTTCAAAAATAACACTGAGGTATTCTGAGAAGAGGAGGTAAGACGTTGAGAAAAGGAGATAAGATAGAGAGGAGGAGACAAGACTGAGACTGCAGAAACAGATCTACAAAGGTCCTAGATCCAGGATCATCCAACTTGTCTGGAAAGGGCCAGAGAGTAAATACGTTATGCTCTGCGGTCCACATACAGACTCTGTTACACGTATTTTTCTGTTTTTATTTTTTTACAACTCTTTAGAAATAGAGACCATCATTTGTTTGCGGATCACTTAAAAACACCCTGGCACAATCAGACATGAAAGTAAACGGTGCATGATGTGTTCAAGGAATAATATACAGGAATGAAAATTTCAGGAGAGCCCTGGAAACGAGAAAGAAATTGAAATGTTACAAGTAAATATCACAATAAATTAAGACATTTGCATGGGTTTAAAAGCAGAATAAGCACAAAAGCAGGGCTGAACTAGAAGACAGGTCGGAAGAAAGTATCTGAAAGGAAGTACAAAATGATAAAAAGATGAAAATATTTGAAAGAAAACAAGAGATACAGAGTACATGGTATGGAGATCAACTCTGTTATACTTTATATTCAAGGAAGAGAGGAGGCGATTAGGTAGAAGCTATATTTAAAGAGATATAGCTGAAAACTTCAGAAAATTGACAGACAAAATAAAATACTGATTTGTGAAACATTAGAAACCCTTGAGGAGGAATAAAGTAGGAAGAAAATAAAACCTGGCCACACAGGAATTACCACAGTAAAATCTACACAGAACCAAAGGCAAAGAGAAAATGCTTAAAAACAAATGAAGACTAAGAGACTCTGAGATTTAGTGTAAAGCTACAGTGATCAAGAGAGTATGGAATTGAAGAAAGAACAGTCAAAGCAATCAGTGGCACAAAACAGAGAGCCTGGAAATAAACCCAGACAAACTCAGGCAGCTGAGCTCTGACTAAGGAGTGAAGGCAGCTCAGTGGAGATGGATGGTCTCCTACAAGTGGTGCTGGAAACTCTGAACATCCCCAGTCAAGAAAAAAGAATCTAGACACAGACTTTACACCTTAGACCTAAAGACAAAACTTCACAAAGGTAACACAGTTTTTTCTCTTTAAAATGTCACCAATCTTTGGCTCCCTTGAACCACATTTCTCCGATGGTCAGAATACATTAATTTTAACCTTAATCTATGAAAACGCCTATCAAGGATAAAATCTTAGGATATTCCAAGAAAAGTAACTTTGAATTACCCCATGAGTATGACAGGGCAAACACTAAAACAGATTTCATACCTATGAAAAATAAAAGCCTCATACATTCATTTGAATGGACAGAAGATCACTGAGGTAATATCAAACTTACCCAGAGGGCTTACTTAAAAGGGGGTAATCAAAATATATGGTGTGTTTCCAAATTTTAGCTATTACAAACCACTATAAACATTGGTGTGCATATATCACTGTGGTATGATTCTTTTAATTCTTTTGGAAAGATACCCAGCAGAGGGATGGCTGGGTCAAATGGAACCTCTAGTCCCAGCTCTTTGAGGTATCTCCATGTTGATTTCCACAGTAGTTGCACCAGTCTGCACTCTCACCAACAATGGAGAAGGGTTCCTTTCTCCCCACGACCCTGCCAACATTTGTTATTGTGTGATTTCTTGATAGCAGCCATTCTTTGTGGGGTGAGGCGGAATCTCAGTGTTGTTTTCATCTGCATCTCTCGAATGACCAGGGGAGGAGGGGGTGAAGGGAGGGCAGGGACAAGGGGAAAAAGTGAGAACCAAGACCTGTCACGTGAAGGTACAGGATCCCAGTAATGAATGTAACTATATTGTATACCTAGATTGTACCAATAAACTCAATAAAAGGGAAAAAAATATGGTGTGTGTTTAAATTTTTAAAAACATGATAACAGTAAAAACACAGTGTGTCCATTTTATTGCTATTATTTCTGCTTTTTGTGCTGCTGGGAATTGAACCCAGAGCCTTAGCTACCTTAGTCACTGGATCTGGCACTGTGCAATTTCAAATGGCCATGAAAAGTAAAAATTTGAATCAACTCAGTATATGGAGGCAGTCACAACAGCACGACAAAGATACTCATGAAAAAATGATTTCAAACTGCTTCAGAAAGTGGCAAGAATGACTGGATAAATATGTTCAAAGTCAAGAGGGAATTTTGAGAGGTTATGATTAGCAAAATACATTTTTTCAAATTAAACATTAACCATAGGGCTGGGGATTTAGCTCAGTGATTTTGCTGCCTGCCTTGCAAGCTCAAGGTCCAGAGTTCCATCCCCAGTACCAAAAAAAAGAAAAAGAAAGAAAAAAATCACCATATTTTTATCATATCCCATAGTTTCATCAACACACTGGATAGTAAATTTGCTTGCAATGAGGAGTTGCTCAAGAAAAATATATTCTCCTATGTTAACATGTCCAAATAATGACAGCCACAAAATCATTTTTGTGTTGTAACCTGAAAAGGGCCCATTAAAAGGTCGTAAAAGAATAGAAATACCTTGAGCATTCTTTAAATGTGCAGTGCTAATTAAACTGAGGATATAATCTCATTCTTTGTGATAACTGGCAGCATGAGGCCTCTTCGCGGAATTTCTCAACTCCAATATAGAATATTATTATTCTATATTGTTATTATTATCAATATTAGGATTTGTTAGCCTTAGTGGAAGATCTCAGTGTCATGAAATTTTGTCAACATTGTACTTTTGCTCTCTGCTTCCCAACTTTTATGAAGTATATTACCATTATTTATTTAGCTGTTTTTGAAGCCACATGTGAATTCAATTCCATACAATCATATAAGCAATATCATGATCACAGCTCTGAGACATGACTCCAGGTAAAATTCTGTTCAGACAAAATGGCCAACATTTAGCTGGACCAGAGGAGAAACCCCGATCATGAAGGGCAGGACTGGCCTTAGCAGTCAGTGCAGCTGCTGGCACCCCGAAAAGAAAACCTACAGGGAAGCATATACATGGGTGTTACTGTGCCCTCCAGTGGAAACATTGGTGAATAAAAGTAATAGGAAAAAAATCCCTTATGTGTTGATCATTCGTATTCATCAGTAATCAATACACTAAAGAATGTATAATTTCTATTTTAAAATCACATTTATGTAATCTTCATAATTATTCGTATTTTGGAAATCTTTTAGAGCATAAAAGTAACCACACTTTAAAACTTCTATAGACATACCAAGAACGTATTGCATCCATTTTAAATTAGTTTAAAATCAGCTTACCTGTGTAAAAAGTATAAACTGAGCAAACTGCCAGGGAAGCATAAAAGCAACATTGGCAAGACAGAGGGCAATGTAATGTTTTCCATAATTGTTGGAGATCCTTAGCAGAGAGAAGAAGGATCAGTAAGTTTTGCCATGAAGACAGCCACTTGCTAAAAAAAAGACTACTTGCAGAATGACAAAACTGAAATGGTCCTTTCACCTTTGATATAACACAACAAAATATGGTTAGCCTTAAAAATTAGTTTACTAAAAAAATCTGAAATTAGCACTTCAAAAATAACAATGTATAATTTATCATTGAATAAAATGCTTTAAATATAAAAAGGATAATAAGCAGCCAATAAAGAGGTTACTTTAGAATCTTTAAAATGAACAAATAAATGTAAAAGTCTATTTCCCTGTAAATATACTTTCAAAATTAAATACACGAAAAGACAGTCAGAAGAAAATAGGCAGGAGAGTGGCCCTGTGTACTCCAGATTATACCCTATACATACTAGTTTTTGTATATCACCAATTTTATGTTTCAGAAAATGGTGAAGAAAAGTATAAGTGTTGGTGAAGAAATGTTAACTGTGGAAAAACTTATGAAAAAATTTAAGACAACAAATTAAAAACTAATTCTGGAATAGAGCTGAATTATTGCAGTTGAAGTTTAAATTGTCCGTTCAGCCATCTGAAAGCATATGGTAACTAACACCTCTTAGCCCAGAGGAGTTTAGGATATTTTCGAAGATGAAAAATGAAATGCAACTCTATTTTTAAATAAATAAAACAGCAACTGTTGTTTTTATAAAAGCTGTATTGGGTTTGTTTAGGTAATATTTTCATAGATAAATTTTCAAAAGCAAAAATTTAAATATATTGTTTAGTAACATTATCACAAAATATTAATTAAGCACTTGCTAATCTTGTATTTGATCAAACAAAAATTACTTGTGACTCAGGTGAAGAGTATAGCACGTGTCCTCAAGGACACAATCCTAAATGTTCTAAGTATCACCCTGCATTCTATGAAACCCCTGCCTGTCCAAATTGACAGCACCTCAGTTAATCATCTTCCTAGTAATCAAACTGGGAATGAAGGGGGAGTAGTGGGCATGAGCACCCTTCTTCACCATACTCATTCAGAAGAGGCAATGTACTGAACAAACAGAACTCTGGACAGGGAGCAGATGCCCCAGACTCAATGCAATCCCCAAATAAACTCGCCAGGCAGGTAACACATCAGGAGTTAGCCTGCTCCTCTCTAAGGCTTGTGACCTCGGCACCATGCAGAACTGACCTCCATTTAATCAACTACCACAGGAGCCGCTCAAATGTTCACAGGGGAGGGTGCTAAGTGCTCAGTGGTTAGAGATAAACAGGGCTTGGTCTCTGTTTCTAGTGTGGTACTTTTAAGTAGATGCAAATACGGATGTAGACATTTCTGTACTTGTGCAGGATTCACAAGTTTACAGTTGAAAGAAAGAAGGAAGGAAGAAAGCAACAAAGACATGTACACAAATGATTTGCATAGCAGGTAGATCTGCCAGGACTAAGTAGATGAAATGTGATGAGTGCCCTAGGATTTTGGAGAAGACGCTGATCATTACTTCATTCACTGTGAGATCTCACTAACATTCTATGAAACTTATTTCTATCATAGTTATTTATAGTATTTTGTTTCTCAGACTTATTCCAATAACAAAAATGTGTCCAAGAAAAACAGTTGAGATAAAACTGGCTGAACTGGTAGAAGTATCATTCAGAAATGAATTTACGAGCTGAGCGTGGTGGCGCACGCCTGTATTCCCAGAACTCGGGAGGCTGAGACAGGAGGATCGCTGTGAGTTGAGACCAGCCTGGGCTACATAGTGAGTTCCAGGGCAGTCTCAACTACATAGTGAGACCCTGTCTCAAACAAACGAACAAAAAAACAAAAAAATGAATTTGCACTCTATCTCAGTATTTTCCAAATTCTTTTGCACACAGAACACTTTTTTTTCATGGCACATATATGAATGCTCCATCAAAACACAGTTTGGAAGACAATGAAAGCACATAAACTTCAAACAAAAAAAATTATTTTTCAAATACTGTTGAATCATTGCAAATCACACATGAACACATGTATTTTGATTTACTATAATATAGTCATCTAAAACTTTTAGCCAGAACAAAAATGGAGATCAAATTTACATAGTAATTTGTAGATTACCTTAACTCTACGCTGTTTTTTTAAATAACTAAAAACCATAGCCTAAATATGGCGATTATAACAGGTTGATGCAAATTTTAGAAACTTATCTTGTAATTTACTTAGCTGTTTTATAAATAAAAATTACCTGAGAATCATGGTTAGAATATACATCTGAAGCACCAGGAACGGAAACGCAAAGCTCTCACGGAGAGGTGGCGTCCACATCACACGCGTGGCCTGAGATGAATGAAAGTGTGGGTTCATGTCAGGTCCACGACAGCAAACATCATTCACATAACACCGGGTTGGCTTCCTCTGGGAACATTAAGGCCAGACCTACTGGATCCTACTTCTGCAAGCTGGGCGAAGTTATCCATTCTGGAGCTTCTCACACGGGACCGCTGAGCAGAGCAACCAACTTCCAAGCCCAGAACAAGTTCCAGCTCTATGGGACCAAGCACAGCAAGCCCCAGTGACACCCAAAAAGGCAGGGATGGGGACTGTGAGGATTCCTGGGCCAGATCCAGTCCAGCCCCATAGATGTGACCCAGACATCCTGGGCCTTGAGCTCCAGGCCTGTCAACAACAATGCTTCAACAGGTATCCCCTGGGGCATTCGGAACACCAAGTTTACACTTAACAAGTCCAGGTGGTACAAGTAGTCAAGATCCCCTGAGGGTCTGCAATACATCCTCAAGAGTTAACTGTAAATGTGCAAGACAACTGGGAGTAATGAGAATTACTAATGTGAGGCACATAATGCAAGTAATGTGATGGGTAGAATGTAAGTATTAAATATTCATGTATACTTTAAGACAATTTCTAAGACATACAGGTCAGAGTATGATAAAAAATTTGCATCGAAAACTCTCAAACCAATTTAAAATCTTATTACAGCACTCTGCAACAGTCTTTAAAAGTTACTATTCTAGGAAGCTCAAACTGTAAGCCTTGGAAGATGAATTACAACTGCATAAAAAGTTAATTCATACCACTGATAGTCTAACATAAGAGAAAACAAAGCTTTTTCTTTATGTCAACAGATTGTTTAATGACAAGGTATTTGTTTGCTTTAGGTTGAAATAATGTACTGAAAGCATTCTAAGCATAGATTTTATTATCCCCTTATCTAACCGATTTAAGACTTCACCCAGTGGAACTCACAATGACTCCTGCCCTACGTAACCCATGGTGTTACACAGCACGTATTCTGCTTCCGAGAGGTAGCAGTGGGACTCCCTCTCTCTCTCTCACTGCCACATCCTCAGGCTCTAACAGTCAGGCACATGGTTTGTACATGTGCAACATTTTGTGCAGTGATCCATCACATTCTACGTGAGTTTCTGTGAGCTCTTTTTGGTGAACTATGTTCATCTGGGATGAATTAGTATGCAAACCGCTACTTTGGATTCAGCATTCTGTGTCACAATGACATAGAAGTAAGGTCATAGGTGGCAAAGCCTCAGCTTGGTACCCATGGTCAGAATCCAGGGTGGCTCACAACCTTGGAGAAATGCAAGTGCATAAAGATGCACCTAAGCAAGATGAATACATTCTAGAGATCTGCTGTACAGGGTTTTGTTAATGCTCTATTACAGTGCTGTGAAGCTGTTAAGAGGGCAGATATTATGTTAAGTGCTCTTACCACAATACAAAAAGTGAAATATATAATCACACATGGTGGCACATTCCTACAATCTCAGTACTCTGGGAGTCTGAGGCAGGAGGGTCAAATGTTTGAGCCCAGCCTAGGAATGTAGAGCTCAGTGTGCAGGCCCTGGGTTCAATCCGCAGTAAAGGGAGAGAAGGAGACCTCAGCTTCATCAGGTAGAGAATGGGCGATCCTGGGTAAGCAACCTAAGCTCTGTAAAACTCCTTGTTACAATGTGCGCAGTAAGGATAGCGACCACCTCCAACAGGGTTTGCTAGGAATAAATGTAATAACGTAGAGTGTCTGACTCATGAGAATGGTACTTCCTTTTTTCCACAGAACATATGTATATGTAAAAACTCGCTAAAGACCAGGCAAGATATTTCACATATTTTAACTTCTAATGATTTAAAAATTTAGATCAGTACAGTTAAATACCAATTAACATCATAAAGTTCTTTCAAATAATGCCAAGTCACAATTAATTAGCAACTATATATTTTTAATGATTATAATTCCATTTTCTTACATAACCTCTAGTTCTTAAAAATTATTTTTCAGAAAACAAACCTCTCCATGGTTGAAAAAGTAGCACAGGACTGTAATTAAACCTCCTAATTGAGTCTCACTGTGAAAAACAAAACAAAACAAAACAAAGCAGCAAATCACAATTCATGTAAAATAAGGTGAGATTTAAAAAAAATTATCTCAGACTTTAAAATCATTTTTCTGTACTTAAAACACAAGTAAAAATTGCAAAAGTACCCATGCAGTCATTGTTTTAATCTCGAAAGTGCAAGCATACAAGTTGTATATATAATGTAATCTACATTTTATAATTTATTATATTTTAAATATCTTCTAAATAAAATATATAGTCAATGAACATAACATAATTTTTAACAAGCCAGGCATGGTGGTGACATCTATAATTCCAGCACTCTGGAAAGGCAAAAGGATTGCAAGTTCCAACCTAGTCTGGGTTCAATCCTCAGTACAAAAAAATTTTTGAACCAATAGACTAGCACTTCAGTCTGTAGCACAGTTTTTGAATAATCTAAATGGAGGCAGTTTTGTCTTTTGAAATTGAATTTAAGTAAAAAAAAAAAAAGAAATTGAGTTTAAGTGATTGAGAGAAAGTCTATCAGTTTTAACAGTAACAGAAGTAAGCATACATTCTTTTGTGGAGTCAAAAGGAAGCAAGAATGTACGAGGGCAGCAGATAACCATTAGAGAGTAGGAAGCATTTCCTGGCTGCCTGTGTGTGGTCAGCACATCCCATCCCAGCGCTGCACACAGAGGACAGTAAGCACCAGGTGGATGAATGAAGAAAGGAAGGAAGGAGTTCAAAAAACAAGCAAAGGAAAGTGACTGGGAAGTGGCTGACCATAAACAGACTCTCACTAAAGGAAATTCAAGGGATCCACTTCCGAAAGGAAGAGACTGAAGGAAGAAAAGTGTGAGAAGCAAGGACAGGCTGTGCACGTAGGAACTGTGAATGTGCGGATGAAATGAAACATCTGGCGGCCCCCAAAATACTACCAATACTGGCTGCTGCAGAGGGGTGATGGGAGTACTGACTATGGTCCTAACGTGTAAGACATGAGAGGGCGTTTCAGGAGAGCATTCTACCGTTCCATATACTGATCAGAAGAAGGGAAAGGTATGGGTTCATTTTAGATTTAGTTAAATGTGCATGTTAACATTTTATGGTTATTCACCCAAGGACAGAAACAGTGCCTACATTCCAAAGTAGTGCCCCAAATTTCTACTTCTGTTTCTCATATATGCTAGTTTCCAATCTCCTCATGGTTTTGGTGACATTTTTATAGTTCATAATAGTTACACCCACATATCCTTCTTAAAGACTGGAGACCAGTAATGTATCTGATAGTCCTGAACTGTGGAACCAGTTCAGAGAGAATGTGCACTCTTGGGCAGCCTTCCTAATGAAAAATGCTGATTGAAAGTTTTAGTCACAGTGGTGTAATGTTTTCCACATTAAAAAAGAAATTAGTACAAACTATTTTCAAAAATTGAACTTTTAAACCTAACAAAACTATCTCAAAGCTATCCTATGGCACATAAAGAAGTATATAAAATTTCTTATTTATAGAAGCATCTTTGAGGGCTGGGGATTTAGCTCAGTGGTTCTGCCACCTGCCTGCAAGCACAAGGGCCCAAGTCAAAAAAAAAAAAAAAAAAAAAAAAAAAAAAAAAAAAAAAAAAGAAGCATCTTTGAATGTACATTTTTCTGTATGTGGCTTCTACCCTGTTCCTGTGATCTACTTGTCTAGCATGCTGTCTTATTTATATTAGCATTATGGTACAGCAATAATTGAGAAAGCAAGTTGTATCTTTTTAAAAAATGTTCTGAGAACCATGCCTGCTCCCGACCCAGCAGCCATCGCTCAAGCGCCGGGAAGGTAGCGCGTAAACCCCCCCCACCCTCAGTCCTCCTGACTGTGCCAGTCTTTGGACCCACTCTGCAGAGGCAGAGGTGGTCATCAAGGGTATTTTTCTGAGTTCCCAACTTTGAACATCTGTAAAGAAAGGGCTTGGGGAAGCTGTAATAGAACGTTGTGGAGTTCAACCATTCAGAAGGTTGGGGAACTCAATCTGGGCCTTGCAGACCGAGGTCAGTCAGTGTCATGGGGTTCAGCCATCAGCTAACTGAGATCAGGGGTCTTGCATCCTCGCTCTGTCTGAGCCATTAAATGGTAAATACACTATATTGAAATTTTGTTCACTGCAGACATGTTCTGGACTGCTTCTTGATTTCAATTATATTCAAATGATTTAAAGGTGATAGACTAGTGACTACCACAGGTGATCAGTGTCCAAGTTGTGTTTGATCTTAAT